CGGACCGGAGCTGCTCTTCCCCGGGCTTCCCGGAGTCAGCCACTGGTCAGTTTAAGCAGCGGCTGACTTGGGAACGCCTGGGGCAGAGCAGCTGGGGTGCTGCCGGGTTGGTCCAGTAGCACCGAGGAGCAGCGCTGCGGGACCAACCGGCAGCGCTCCAGCTGCTCTACCACAGGCGTCCGGAGAAAAGCCTGGTCTGCTATGGGGGGGGGGCATACTAGCTGCACCCCTCCTTCTCCCAGCAGACCAGGGAGACGTGGAACAAATAAAAAAAGGAGCATAATTGATTTATAAGGGAGACATTTAAAATGACTACATATCAAATACTGTCAAAACTAAATGGACTGATTTTGAGTAAATGCTCCTTTTCTCATGAAAAATGTACTATTTCTCTACCAAAGTTTACTGTAATTTATTTTAGTTACTAGTTTAAACTCTTTTTGCCCCCAAAGCTTGAGGACACTGATCTATAAACGATATAACTGTGGCCCTGGTAGATAACATTCTACCTCCACACTGCCTGATTGCAAGTGTTTCTTCTCTAGGCCCCTCAGGGGAAGACTACCAAAGGTACTGATTCTGAGCACCCACTATTCCAGCTGAAGTCAGTGGAAGCAGCAGGTGCTTGTTATCTCTGATAATAGGCCTCACAGTCTCATGCTCCAGGTGTCCCCATCTCGTCACTCAGAGTTTTTAGCCATTCCTATCTATAACTTGATCCAACATTATTGTTAACTTACCTCTTTCCCCCATGTATGACCACCAACAGTGTCACCCACAAGCTCACAACACCATGAACAGTAAGAACCAGAAGATGCCCATATATTCTTAATAGAGAATCAGCACCATCCCAGCCATGAAGCTCAGCTACAACCTCAAATAACCCAACTCCTCACACGGACTGACCCAGCCACATTCAGCTGACTGAAAGCACAAGGTAACAATGAATACAGGGGCACTTCTGTGTTTACAGTAGTAAAGATGTTAACTAAGGCACATTTCCTAGCATCTACCTATGGCATAAACTTTCATTTAGAGCAACTAGGTGGGTAAACGAATATCTTGTAGTGGATAAACTTCTGTTAGAAGATTGAAATCTTGTCTCTATCACTAATGTCTCTTCTTCAGCTGACCAGCTATTACCTCTCTCACTGTGTCTAATATCCTGGAACCAACATGGCTATAAACACCACCACATAAACTTTCAGTGACTTCCGCCACCTTGCTAGCACACATAGGAACACAATCTACAACAGTGATGAGAGATACCAGGGATGGACTAGTAAACTCTGGATTACAGATGATTATGAAATGAGATGTGAAATATTAGCAGGATTAGTGATGTAACAGTGTAGTTGATTAAAGCTTATCAGTTAATACCATTAACTACATGCATCTGCCCCCTCCCTCTCCTTCCTCCCACCATTAACATTTAAATCCCAGCTCACACTGTGGCTCTGCAAGAAAAGTAATTTGAGGGCCAGGCAGGCAGTCCGGCTCAGTCTTGACTCTTGCCAAGTCAAAGGAGCAACCCTCCTCCTCCTCCTCCCCCCCTCACACACACACAGTTTAGTCGGCATGAGCCAGCACTGAGCCAGGCTGCCTCCCTGCGTGGCTCCTAAAATCCTTTCAGTGCAGGGCCTCAGCAGGGGGTAGCTTCTGGGACTCAGCATGAGCCTGAATTGAGTGCTTGCAGTGCCAACCCTTATCGATTATATGCTTAACATTCCTATGCTGGATCTCAGTATTAATTAATCATAGTTGTCCAAATATATATACACATATATATATTTGTTGAAGTATATATTGCCACTACTAGGGATGTGAATGGGTAACCAGTTATCACCACCCTTAACAGGTGATCCACATGGGATACTGGTTAATTATTATCTGGGAGGGTTTCTTCAGCCCCGTGGGGGTTGGTAGCCAACCCCTCCCTCCCCCCACTCTGCACAGGGTGGGCTGAGAGCAGAAACCAGCGGCCCCAAGAGTAGGGAAGGCCTCCAGCAGCAACCCACCCATGCTTGGGGATGCCAGCTCCTGCTACCAGCTTCCCCTTCCCCCGATCCCACTTAATCAGTTAACTGATTAACCCTGACTAATTGGGACTTTACATCCCTAACCACTACAAAGTGGCACTCCCACCCCTTGTGTGTTTCCTCTCGTTCAGACTATATAGCTTGCTCTATTTGACAAAGGTATTTCATTCCGCTTTCCTTACTTTAACTATGTTTTGGACTAAATCCATGGCCTGCTTGACATAGCAAAAAGAGAACAAACCACATTGTGCTTTGTACTTTTTTTTTTTTTTTTTAAACAGATGTCCTGCCAGCCAGGGTGCATTACCTCACAGTGGCCCTAAGAGGCATGCTCAGAAGCATATTTTGCCATTCCTTTCAACAGATGCCAAGTGTGCCTAACCTAATAGCCGCTCCCAACAACACCGACATACTTTACCTAGCGGCGGGGGCTGGAGCCATCTTCCCAAACTGTAAGCTTATGCTTCAAATAAGTCATTTGGTGTAAGTCAATAGATATTCTTTCCTAAAATTCTTTCCTAATACTCTCACAATGTAGTACAAAACCACAATGTGGTACAAAAATGATATTCTTTCCTACTACTCTCAAGAGCTATAAAAAAAAAAAATAATCTTACCCTGCTATTTGCCAAGGAAACAGGTATCGGTGGAAAAGTCGCTCGCTCCCTGTCGCTCTTGAACACAAACATGGAATGGGGACTGACTACAATTGTGCAAAATCAACCAATCAAGTTTGTAATCTAAACCAAAAAAAGTCATTGGGGATGGAAGCTGAAGCAAATTTTTTAACAAAGTTGAAAAAAATAATTTCAAGTCAAACAAAACATTTGATTAAGTCCAAAATTCAGTGTTTCAAAATTTAGAGATTTTTTTTCACACTTTCAAAAAAAATTGAAGGAAAATTCTAAATGAAAACTCATTTTCAATTATAAAATAAGTTTCATTTGGAAAGTGTCTCCATAAAATGTGATTTTCTGTTCAGAATTTTTTTTTAAAACAAACCATTTCTGAAATGTGTCAATCAACCCAAATCTGCATTTTTCAGCAATATTATTTCACGTAATTCTAGACGTAACCACTAGCTGTTTTTGGATGGGTTGGCCTGAGCATACCATTTTGGAAAGACATCTAACATCTGCAACAAATATCAGCCTTAGTTAACAGTCACATGTTGGAAGGAATCTTTCACTCAAATACATCATCCTATCTTATCAATTTCAAAATTATTTTCCATTAGTCCGATTTATTTGGGGAAGACATTTTTCTCAGCCCGCCACTGTTGTCCAGATGTTACTGATCACAGTAAATGTCCACAGCACTATATCTGGAAGATTAATTACTGGGATTTTGTTTCTTTTGCAGATCATCTAAAGAGAAACATTGATGAACTGTCTAAATTTAGGTCCCTAATATGTGCCAGTCTACGCAGTGCTGTGAGGAGCCAACCAGGGCTTGACAATGGTTAGCATGTCTTATATGGTAAGTTGTAATGTTTGAGATTGAGCTCTGAGACATGAAATTGACCACAGGTGTATCTCTACAGCTGATGAAATGTCCCTGAGGTTCTGTGTGCAGAAAATGCATGTGTCATATTGCAGTGTTGCTTCTGCTGTTTTATATATTCTGGGCCTGATGTTCAGAGATGCTGAACTCCAGCTAATGCCAAATGCTGCAAGTGCTCAACCATTCTGAAAAACAGATCCTACTGATTTTGGGAAATGTGATGCTATCAGCAGGCCTTTTATACTTCATTGTAGATTTCTCATTACGTAGCTGGCTAGAGACATCTCTTTGGTCAGGACCTGTCTGCTCTGACATCCACTGCCAATATAGTACAGCACACTGCTTACTTATTATGTGACGAATATGTCCATTTCTTTGTGGGACATGCAGTTTCTGGGATCATACTTCAGGAGAGTATCTGTTACATATACACATTTAGGTCCTCTAGTTTAAGATAGCAATACCCTCATTAGTATTCATTTCACCAATTGTGATCTTCATTCCCATGCATTAAACAGTTTTTTAAAAGTAATCAACAAGCCTGTAAATCACATATATGTATTATTTAAGATGAACTTACATAAATATGCCACGACTGCATCTGGATACAGGATCTCCTCATCATTATAGGCCACATTTAGGGAGGTATTGCGTTGCATGGTCTGGTTCAGTATTTTATTCACTCATTGTTGGAGAAGCAGGCTATACATTTGTATCTATACTTCATATTTTACTTACCTTTCCCCCCTCCCTTTAGTGCAAGTTGGGGGATCTTTGCCAACCTCAGATTTGTGGGAAAACTTCACATGTAGCCAGGCATATTGTCTAGCTATCATCTGACAGTCTGAATATGCTGAAGTGGTCACACCTTCCTCACTTATTTGAAGGTTGAGTCCAATGTATTGGTAGGATATACACAAACCATGTGTGTTGTTACAGTGACACTTTAAACAGTTCAATAGTATAAGGACTGCAGTCTGGTTTCTTCACATAAAAACGGAAAGCGACTGTCTAGGAAGGAATACTGCAGAAAGGGATCTAGGGATCATAATGGACCACAAGTTAATGAGTCAACAGTGTGACACTGTTGAGAAAAAAAAAAAAAAACCACCATCCACACACCATCACCTACCCACCCAAAACAAAATACACACACGATTCTGGGATGCATTAACAAGAATATTATAAGCAAAACACGAATAATTCTGCTCTACTCTGCATTCATTAGGTCTCAACTGGAGTATTGGGTCCAGTTCTGGGCACCCCATTTCACGAAAGATGTGGAGAAATTGGAGAAAGTCCAGAGGAGAACAACAAAAACGTTTAAAGGTCTAGAAAACATGATCTATGAGGGAAGACTGAAAGAACTGGGTTTATTTAGGCTACAAAGGAGAAGACTGAGAGGGGACATGACAGTAGCTTTCAAGTACCTAAGAGGATGTTAAAAGAAGGGAGGGAGAAAAACTGTTCTCCTTAACATCTAATAGTAGGACAAAAAGCAACAGGTTTAAACTGGAGCAAGGGAGGTTTACGTTGGACATTAAAAAAAAGTTTCCTAACTTACGAGGGTGGTTAAGCACTGGAATAAATTGCCTAAGGAGGTTATGAAATCTCCGTCATTGGAGCAAATGCTCTCAAATATTTAAGAGCAGGTTAGACAAACATCAGGATGATCTAGATGGTGCTTGGTCTTGCCATGAGGGCAGGGGTCTGGACTTGATTACCTCTCAAGGCCCCTACCAGTTCTAATATTCTATGATTCTAAACACAAATCAGAGCTGCCACCAATGTGACTAGATCTTACCCAATATATAGTTCATGCATCATTTTACACACATGTAGTTCAAAGCCTCAGTAACTATGTTAAGGCTGATCACACAGTAACTTTATTAGGTTTTCCTAATCATCTCTCATTGACTCCATTCCCATGCCCATACATCCAGCTGGATGGGAAAGAAGTGCGGTCTCAGAAAAGAGGCCTATATTCTCAAGATGTAAATGCTTTGTAATGGCTGACACATTACCATCAATGTCTTAACCAAATGTTCTGGCTTTACATTCATGCAATATGGATGCTCTGGGTGGATATCCAATTTGAGATCTCTGGATCTTAATGTATGGGCATTTTCTGCTTGATCCAACAAACCCTTAGCATCATTTACAAGACCGTAGCAGACTTGCAAACTTTTGACTTAGCCACTATAAGGAGGAGACAGAAGCCCACACCACCACATTGAGCATACATGACTTACAAGGAGACACTGAAAATGAGGGTAAGCTGGCTGGCTTAGTCCTGGTTTACTTAGCCCTGTGCTCAGGCCTGTAAGTAAAGGTCCAGCGGCTGCTTTCAAACCACAGGGCCTGAGGGCAGGGCAGGCAACAACGCAAACACAGTCCCCCAGTCAATAAGGCCCCAGGTCCTGGTGCAGGGCGCGGCAGCAAAACAAATACAATCCCACCGTTAGTAAGGCCCAGGCCCTGGTGCAGGGTCGGGAAGGCAAAGAAACGCAGTCCCAAAGTTAATACGGCCAAGGCCCTGGTACAGGGCAGGGCAACAAACAAATACAGTTCCCCTGGCACGAGCAGGGTGGGGAGACTGCCACCCGGTACGAGATGTGGCGGGGGGGAAATGGGCCCTCCCTACTCCACCGTGTCCCAGCCCAGGGCCCTAGTTGTGGCAGCCCTGGCTGCTATTGGGATCAGCGGGGATCTGGCCAGAAACCCACTGACATGCTCTACAACATTATGACAATCTCCTGCTTCCCTTCGGCCATTGCCTAACTCCCCCTCCCCATCTACCTGGCTCCATACCAGCTGCTGGTCCTTGGGGTCGTGGTAGTCTGAATGCTTGGGCAGGATGTAAAACAGTTTAGAGGCAGTCGGAGATGTGCCGTAGAGAACAAAGTTCAAAATGGCTGCCCTTAAAGGGGCAGGTGATTTTTTTTTGGTCAATAACTTCTCCCGCCCCTCCCTCAAAAAAAAAAATCCTTGGTGTTCCTCATTAAAAAAAAAAATATGATTGTTCGGTGTTCCTCGGTCTTAAAAAGTTTAAGACACACTGGTGTAGAAGGTCTCCTCTTTGGAGCAAGAGTCCGGTGGTCTGGGCCTGTCCTCACGCTCTGCAAGGTCTTCAGGGCACTCCTGGCTTGGGAGCTCAGAGTAGGCTTCTGCTTCCTCTGGTGGCTGGGGCCCTACTGAGCTCCTGGGCTGGGCTTTTATCCTACCTGCCCCGCACCTGGGCCTCCATGGAGTTAAAGGGGCAGGACCCAGCTCAGCCCACCCAGGCTCGGAGAGGGGTTCTTCCCACTTGGGGTCAGTAAGTGACCACCCCTGCTCACTACTCTTATGCATTAAACAATCAGCAGCCAGAAAGGTGATGATGGCTCCTAGGTATCTTCTTATATATGTTGGGGATGCACAGATGTTTGGAATATTCACTGGCAGAATTGTTTGTGTAGATACAAAATTCATGTATGTCTTGTCATTTGTGGACTCCGATTATGTTTCCTAACTGTCCCAGGTGAGGTGACTCATATCACCTGATTATCGTGGAAGTTATTTAAGCCACATAATGTTGTTAGACATGGGAGATATTTGTGTTGGAATCAACCCCGGAGAGGTGTGTTTTAGACTCATGATCATCATCCCTGTTCTACACTACATATGTGGCACAATCCAGGGTCTCTCTCAATGGCATGGGCACTATCCTGAGCAATTATGTCTGTTTCAATCTGGATCACCATCTCCTCTCATTTGGTAGAGTATGGTTAATGATATAACAAGCTGTTTCAACACGTAAGAAGATTATTCTCTGTCTTACAAGCATTCAAGATCAGCTAGCAAGGTTGGGGCCTCAAGGCATTGCTAGTATGTGCATATACACTGGTGAGTCTGTCTACTGTGGCATGCCTGTCTCATGCACATTTATTGAAAGGATCCCCCCCACATAATGTGCATTGCCTCTTCCTCCATATGTGTCATCTGAAGAAGTGAGTTGTGCCCACGAAAGCTCATGATACTATCTATAATGTTTTGTTAGTCTCTAAAGTGTGACAGGGCCACCCTTTTTTTAAAAAAAACTTGTCAGATGTAATAAAAGAGATGTATTATTGGTGGGCTAAGTACAAATGTTTAGAGCACCTTAGTGATTCAGGAGCCAAATTAGCAATCAACATTACCCAAAACAACATTGTAGTATGAATTCAATACAACAGGGGAAATAATTAGTGTGAGTGTGTGTGTCTAGTCTAATAGCAACATGACTGACAAAATATTATTTTATCCGTTACAACTGGTTAATAATATAGTATAAGCATCCTGATTGGTTAGTAATTAGCACATTGCTGCACATAATGTTAAAATGCTAAGATACATTAATGAGAGACTTGCAGTGGATCGAGGAAGATGGGTGTGAAGCAAAGGCTGCTGATGAATTTGTAAGCGGCAAGCCTAGGCACAACAATGAAGCAATTATTTATATTTATAAAATACAGTGTAGTCTGTCAAGAGTGGGGTTTCAGGGAGGTTTTTTGTTTTAATTATCTCCTCTTTGCCCCCTAAGGATGAGAAAGGAGGAGGAAGAGGATTATGTCGCAAATATTGGATCCACGATTTTCACTTATTCCACGCCAGCGTGCCTACCACATTCCTAACTATGACTTGACTGCTACTTTGAGAAAGGAGGAAACAGCTAGGAGACTAAGTTTTTACATAGAGTAATACAATTGACTAATAATAAGCTAACACCTCAGACCCCAGTGTTGCCAATCTCTCTGATAAAAATAAAGGAAGTAAGGAAAGCAAGGGAAATGATATTACCGATGAAAGGATGCATTGTTTAAGTATAATAGCTATGGAGTTTCTCCCCAGTATGAAAATCCTTTCAAGGAACCTTTTATTGATAACATAAAGCTTAACACCTCAAGTTTGGCACTAATGAATTTTCCAGGACCCAAATTACCAAGATGTCAGCAGTTTAACTTGTTCTTAATTGGGCAGAAATCTTAGAAGTTATATACCTAACTACTTGGTGCAAGTACAAATCAGGTCATTAGACACGAAGCTAAGATTTTTGCCTACAGTTGGTTTGTGGTCACATTAATAGCAGTTCCAAATTATGTCTGCAAATGGGGCCTCAACCTGACTGAAAATTAATTTCAAAATCTCCATTTTCCAGAAAACCTCTGAGCAATATTCTCTATTTAAAAAAAAAAATTTTTTTCCTCTGTCCCTTTCCTGAGCAGCTGCTTTCACTACCATGTTCACTTCCCATATGGGAAATAATGTGTGTAACACTATCTGGAACCAATGTGAAAACGTCTCTGAAGAAGTATGGATGGGAGGCACAGTCTGCTGTCTTCCTAGGAAGAAACAGGCCCAAGTCAGCTCTGTTTACCCCACTTGCCTAAAGTATCTAGAAAGGTAGACCGGGGAGCTTGTAGGGTTGCCAGATAGGCTTCTGAAGCACCCAGAGCGGCAATCGCGGCCCCGCCTCCCAGCTGGGACTGCCAGGATGGGAAGCAGGGCCGGCACTGGTGCTAGGAACCTGTGATTTCACAGAAGCCGGGGGGGGGGGGG